ATTCTGTTAACGAGGACTATATTTCAACTGATTTAGAAGAACCTTGAACGATTTGGTACAATGTTTATTGTGGGACTATTATAGGTACATACCTATAATAGTCTATTATTAAAAAGTTCAGGAGCTTAATAATGAATTTAAATATTTATTGTGGTTAGCAGACGTAGTGAACATCTGCTGATTTTACATAATGGATAATCCAAATACATCGTTAGAATTTCTAATTAGCTGCCGTTTGCCGTTTCCAATACAAGTTTAATCAGCATTCCTGATTTCCAGTGTTTTATAATTAACTAATATTGGATTTTTCTGCTTTCACATATTTTATGAGGAGTTTCTCTCAACATTATTCGGTTTCAAAACACTATAGTTTGCAGGATATTAAACATTTGTGTAACTGCAGCTTATTTTGTGTCGAAAGGAGAACTTAAGCTTTTACCACCGCTTTATTTTAAACACGTAGATCGTTATACGTCATTAACTGTATGGTTTAACTAGAATTATCATCTTATTCTAAAATCTGAAGGCGTTTTACGTTGGTTTCTTGTTGGAGACATATGAGTGAGCTCATTTTGACTGCACGTTTGTTTATTTCGTGTATATATTACGTCATTCAAAGGGATTACTATTGAGTCGATAGTTACATTTTTAAGAGATTTGAAGTCATTCACCTTCGCCAGCAAAACCTAAATCAAATTAATTTTTTTTATTAATTTATGAGAATTTGAAGATATTTCCTTCTGCAAATTAGCTGTACGATAAAAAATGTATGGTCGGTAAATTAAAGTATAAACCATAGTAGGTTACCGAGTTCTGTTGTCAAGGAGTTGATGTCTAAAGATTTGTGATTTACTCCTCTCAACAGAATGGTATAGATGGCTCTGTACCTATCACAATCAGAAGGTAAAACGTATCAGAAAGTAAAATAACTTATGCAAGCTGTTTTTCAATACAGTCATCATCATTTACACATTTCCTTCCTAGAGTTGAAGTTCCTTATCACGGAAGCTTAGTTTTCAGGTGCAATCATAATCATATTTTAGTTAAGAAAATCTTTCTGCTACTTTTTCACACTTTTTCTCCTCACAATAAAAATGTGACAGCCATAGAGGGAAATAATAATATAGTCTGGTAATAATAAAGTAATAGTAAACCGTGTAAAAGTAGAGTTCTGTATGTATTGACTTATGTTAAACATTAAAGTATATGGTATTATTAAAATGCAGGCATTGCATTGTTTTGCCGATTTTTATTTGAAAGGACGCACAAACGCCCAGTAAACCAATTAAAACTGTGTTGGATCAATGTACAAATTAGAGTGATTGTTGAAACAGTTAGCCATTGATTAAAAAGGGAGAAAATTCAATCCTTCTAAACTGTAAACTACACTGACTTGATACTCTGGGATTATTTTAAATTAGCTATTTATTCTATTACTCTCTGGCTAACATTGAGTTTATTTAAAATGTGTTAATTTCACTAAACCTAATTTATTTTTTTTCAACCGTATTTCGTTGTCCATTTTACTTATTTAAGCACAAGTTAATTAAACAATTAACTACTGGTACCTAATCAAACCATGTGTATGGACAAAATTAATTTTATACATATCACTATAATTAAATAAAGTGTGCTGTAGGATTGCATTATTTTATATCATTTATAGGTGTATCTCGCGCAAATAATAAATTATTCTGTCCTAAAAATAATAAACTGTATCAGCATTCTGACACATACTTTCTCCCAAAAGTTTGTCAACAACCTTTATCATGTGTAAGCAGTGAGAGTAAATATACGGAAATGGGGTTTTGTAAAATTTTTAAGGTTTATAACATACTAAATCTTTATAAAAATCTTTCGGGTCATTTTTGGGAAAATCCGATTTTTCCGTGTTTTTATGATGTTTTATGGAAAAATAACATAATTTACAATAACTTTTTAACCGTAATTTTTACAGAAATGGGATTTATACCATTTTGTTCAGAATATAAAGGACTATAACATACTAAATTTTTATCAAAATCGTTCGGGCCATTTATATGAAAATCCTATTTTTCCGTTATTTTATGGAGTTTTATGGGAAAATCCCCATTAAAAATCCAAATTTCTAAAAATTGAAAAAAACTATCAAAATTTGTAAGGACCATAACATACTATGTTAAATCAAAACCAGATTTTTTTTCTAAAATCCTATTTTTTCTATAGAGTTTTATGGAAAAATAACATAATGTACAATAACTTTTTAACAGTAATTTTTACAGAAATGGGATTTATACCATTTTGTTCAGAATATAAAGGACTATAACATACTAAATTTTTATCAAAATCGTTAGGGCCATTTTTATGAAAATCTTATTTTTCTGTTATTTTATGGAGTTTTATGGGAAAATCCCCATTAAAAATCCAAATTTCTAAAAATTGAAAAAAAACTATCAAAATTGTAAGGACCATAACATACTATGTTAAATCAAAACCAGATTTTTTTTCTAAAATCCTATTTTTTCGTTATTTTATGGGGTTTTATGGGATTTGTAACATTTTGTTTAGAATTTAAAGGGCTACAACATACTAAATATTTATCAAAATTGTTTGGGCCATTTTTGAGAAAATCCGATTTTCCCGGTTTTATGGGAAAATTCTTATTAAAAATCAAAATTTCAAACAAATGAAAAAAACGCCTGGATATACCATGGATTAAAACCTACATACCAAATTTCATCGAAATCGGACCACAGGTGTAGTCCCTAGCTTTGTACTCATCCAGACACACTGACACACACACAGACATCACTTCGAAAACCACTTTTTGGGTCCAGGGGGACCCAAAACGAATATATCCACTCAAACTCGAAAATGTTGACGAAAACACTACTTATCTCCATAAACTATGATATAGGGGGAGAAAGTAAAAATGTGTAAATAGTCTTTTCAAATAACCAGTTTCTCCAACGAACGTTTTTATGCATACCGTACTTTTTATTCTTATGGCTAATTTCCTTCAGCTGCTTTTAAAACAGAAGTAGGCTATATCGACTGTAAAATTCAAATACCCCGATGCAGCAAACCTGCAGACTAGGGGGAATTCCCAATTTGTCGATTGGATTTCCACAAAAACATCTCCTTAAAAAGTCATATTTATTCTTTGACATTAATTAGTTTAACGATTAGTTAACGGTTAATTAGTTAGTAACGATTAGGTTTTGCCGCTACAAGGAAGGTATTATAGTTTATTTTTGTTCCTCTGATGAATAGAGGAGGTCTTGTAACCAGATGGTCGCGGTCGAGCTATACAGGGTGATCAACTTAAGAAGGCCACCATTGGGATATCGGAAACGGTAAGAATTAGAGAAAGATTTCAAAGAGGGACATTCCTTTATTTTTTGTGGCAGTCAAAAATCTGATTTTATCTTTTATAAATTCAGCCGCTATTTTCCAAAATGGCGGCCAACTTTGAAATTTCTTATGGAACACCCTTTTTATTTTATCATGTTTTCGGATAGAACATGCAATTTAAAAACTTTTTAATTTTGACATTTTTTCGATAAACCCACTCGTTTAGGAGTTACAGCCTATGGAAAAATGACTTCCGGTGTACATTTTACATCATGTAGCTTCTAACAAGTAGGTTTATAGCGAAAATGCGAATAGTAAATAAGTCAAATAAGTCTTATAATTGCCTCCACATTCCAAAAAGACCATACAATTCGTTAAAAATATTAATTAATTCTATTATTTAAAAAATGGCAGCCATTTTCCAAAATGGCGGCAAACTTGAAAAGTGGAAAATTGTGTAATTGTTGGTCTCAGACCCAAGGCGCAGTTCTGCGTAAGTTTGGAAAAAATGGCCACTGTATTCCAGGCAGAATCAACACCCTGGCTGCCTCTTGGACTATGGCCCCCTCTCCGTCCTACTTGGTCCCCCCTCCGGTGCTGAACGTCCAGCCCAAAACTCGAACCGCACTACCTCAAGTTGTTGTTATTGTTTGTTAGTTATTTAATTGTTATTTATTTATATATAGATTAATTTATTAAGAAATTTATTGATGCTGTTTTTCGACTGAAGAAATTTATCACTTGTTATTTGTTTTTTTTAAGACTGCATAGATTATTCATATTTTAAATTATTTCTGATTTTGGGGCCCCTAGATTTTGTTACCAGTTTTAAAAGGATTTTTGAAAGAAAATAAACATATAGGTATTTTAATGGTTATAAATTTGTTAATTTAAAAGAAATTTTGAAAGGTAAAGTCTAGCTTAGTAAGGTCTGATTTGAAATTAGCCAATTGAATTGATTAAAGAAATAATTGTAAGTTAGTAGGCTAGATGGGTAGCTAAATTTATTTAAAGTTTAATTGAGAGTTTCATGTATTGTTGTTAATGTTGTTGTTGTTTATTTAAATTTGGTTAATTACAGCTCGTTTCTCTCAAATGGCGTGTTGTTCTTTAACCTCCATCCATGGTTCTCATGTTGTTAAGTAAGGTTTTGTGAGCCACTCCTCGGGCCTGCGCATGGATCACGCTTCCAAGTCGTTATTCTGGGTGCATGCACGAGGGCGTGGTTCACAACAATGCAAAAAGGAAACTAAGCCAATTGCAATATTTAACTAACACTATTGGACACCAAGCAATGCATATGGTACTTAAACTAAATCTTCCAAATGCATATAAGAAACCAGTTTAAATTTAACTTACACCACTTAAGAAAAAATATTGTTCAACCAATCACAGTGCTAAGATTAAGTAGGTCTAGTCGTGTTTACTTTCAATTTATATTCAATGACTATACAACTTGAAGCAACTGTGCTCTGAAGCTGTATGGCTTGTTTTAAATCTTTGACTAACTTTAGAAGGAAAAAACTTGAACCTTTGGCTGACCGGCTGTTTGTTACATGGCTGCTCTCAGTTTTTTTTTCAAGTTGTCGATGCGGCTCCGGCTTGCCTGCCGTCAGCCGTCTTTTGTCGTCTGTTGTGTATGTCTAGGCTGTCGCTGTCGGCTGTGGTAGGCCAGGCCTAGCTTTTTTAATAAGTCTATTCAAGGAATGTTTCTAACTTGAAGTCCTGAAATTCAAATTAAAGAGTAATATATACATCATTATTGACAGCAATTTATTTGTGAGTTTTTACCGTTATAGGCTAACATCGTGTACTAAGCAACAATGAGCGAGCCTCTGGTGTTTGCATTCACTTTAGTTGACACTGGCGCAGTTTTATTCCTTTTGGTCTACTTTGTATCCTTTTAAACATAAGTTAGTTAGGTTAGTTTTTAATTTTTGACGAGTATGATTTTCATCCACTTGTCTTTCTGCTTTGCGTTTTACATATAGGCTTAGACCTATTTGGATTCAGGAGATAGGCCTAAAAAACAATAAAGTAGGCCTAAGATATAATAATTTTACTTAAGTTAGGCCTACTGGATTGCTCTCATTTTTCAGTAAGGTTTTTGTTGTGAAGTTTCAACGTAGGTAGGCTACTCGGAGTTTGAGGTATAGGGTTATTAATTCACGATTGGAACATAATCAACTTCTACTTAGCCGTGGGAATCTGTTGGCTCAAGAGCAATAACCGGAATGTCACTATCCAAATCCAAGTGCATGTCCATCTCAGTTGGCTGCCTTGAGGTAAACGGTTGAAGAGCTGGATGTTCTGAGTTTCTTTGATTGGCTATAAATTAAATTTGGTATTTATAAACTCAAGCTGCTCAAGTGATGTTTTCCACATTCTGCATTCTTTAGCTGAATTAGGCCTAGGCGATTCTAGGCACTTTTGGGGGAAATACGGTTTTTATCCTGAAATTCCTGTTTTTGTTTGTTATATTTAGGCATGTGAGTAAAATAGATTGATCTATGTGCGAATTTGGTCTGTATTAAGGGTTTTGAAGTTAGTTTAGATTTTGGAGATTGGTTTTACCTAATCCAACCAACTATCAAAGGACTTTTAATGCAGTTGCAAATTTTCAAAAGATCGACACCATTTACATGGTTTTTAAGACATCAAAGGAATATGCCAATGTAATATAAGTTTGGTAATGTTAGGATATTTCAGGTTAAGTTGAGTTCCATTTGTTTAGCTTTTATTAGCAGTTTATCTAACACTTATGTCTAGGTTAAAATATTCACATAACCTACTGAAATGTTCGCAAAATAAAAGCATTTTTGGTCATCCCGTTAACGTGTTTGTCAACCTTAAAACGAATTTTGGGGTCAAAACGGTGTTTGCCCCAATAGTGACATAGGAAAATAGTGCCTAATTTAGCTGGAGAGTCCAAAAGTTTGTCAAAATTGCATGATTAGCCTAAGTTCATAATTACATTAAATTTACTTGTCTTTCTCGTTGGGAGGATTCATAATCAAGCCTTGTTAAACTCTTTGTTAAGTGATTACTGCATCACTCTCGTTTTTCAGTATGGCTTTTCTTACGTTTCAACGTACTTGGGGTTTGAGGCATTGGTCTAGATAGAGAATTAAGTCATAAAGGAGTAACATACATTTAATAAAAACTGTATAACTACACAACAACTTAATACACAGTAAAAAATATCATAATTATTGTCTTAAACAAATTATGTTTACAAATATGAAAATATTATTTTATTTTGACAGATTCAGTTAATTCTTATAAAATCTTATCAGCTGTTTCATTAAAAAGTAGTGTACAATTATCCATGGTCATAATGTAGGCCTAAACAAATCTGGAGAGGGGACTTTTAAGGCTTCTGCTGCAGAGCCCCATGGCAATTTACCATGATTATCTTTTGATTGCTCATCTACAGACCAAGGCCTTTCTTTAGACACCCCTACCGAGTTTCTACGCCCAGCCGTTCTCTCAAATTAGCTGTGTCAAAATCCCTGTTTTCTCCTCCTTAAGAATAAAATGTGAATGGTTAAAGGCTACTGATTGTAGAATTGTGTGTAGATGGATGATTCTCCATTAAATTTTTCCTTAACAGACTTCAGGTAATAACTTTGTCCGATTTAGAATGTGACTATCTGAATGCTCAACAGTGTTGCTCCAAACTTAATGTGGTGAGTCGTCATGTTTTTTATCAAGTGTGTGGCCTGAGTTTTGGAACTAGCCCTAATGCTTTTAATAAAGTATTATAGTTTTATGTTAATATTAGCCATAACCTCCTCTTATAGCTAAGGCTGCGCCCAATAATGCGGCAAAGCTGCGTTTGCTAGCCTCTTGCCATAGCAATTAACAAACGTAGAAAAATTGCGCAAACCCTCCATATAAATTACTGCATCAGCTGTCTCTGCAGGTCAGGACTCTGGCATTGCCTTCGCCTTGTATTAAAAAAAGGCAAGTCCCTTGAGCCCCAAAATATATTAGCCTACACATATTTTTCATGAGACTTTGTCAATCAATCCCTTCATATGGGCAAGGCCACACTAAAAAAACAGGCCGTAATGCTCGTCCAGCATGACGTCACGATAGAAGACGGCAATGACGTAATTTTGCCGTTTGTGATCAGCTGCTTGTTTTAATCTTTCATTGGAAAATAAATAAATAAGTACTTATACGTCATAGCCGTCTTCTATCGTGACGTCATGCTTGGCGAGCATTACGGCCTGTTTTTTTAGTGTGGCCTTGATATGGGCATTGTGTTGAGCTTTGAATCAGCTGTGTTAGTGTAGATTTTTTTAATAGTGTAAAAACGTAGGCCTATTTGTCTAGGAATTTGGATGCATTGAACAACGTCCAATGATATAGGTAAGTCAGTGTCACATTGTCCAAATTATAATTCCTTTAACGTTTGACTGTTGCAATACTCTGAATCTCATCATGATCAAAAATACAGTAACTGCAATAAACATAATACTTAATACTTTTTAATACCTTTCTTTGAAATGTCTTTCTACAAACTGTGGACGTCATGAGATTGGTCGTCGAAACAGTGCACACTTGACACTCTTAAAAAAAGTTGCAGTTTTCACTACCTACAAAGCCGCCAGTTGCACGACGTCCATAGCTTGCATACGGTGTTAGGTCAGGTTTAGTGTGCACTACAGTCAGTAAAAAAGTAAATTCACAGTGTGTAAGCGCTCTAGTGGAATAGTTTATTTTGGAGGTCGTAAGACAGCTCAAAAATTATATTTTGGACTTCATTACGTTAGGACGCCTTGCAAAACTCCCAGTAATTTTAAGTTCTATGAACTTTTTACCTTTTGAAAAATGCCAAAATTTAGTTCAAAGTAAAACCTGATTATAAAAAATTTAAGATAACAAATTGTGACAAATGATTATTGTTTACAGTGGGTTATTCCCAAGTTAGTAGCTCATGCAGTAGTTGTTCTATTGTTTCTTCTCTACGGATGGTGGATTCTGGCCCTCACCAATCTGCCAATGGTCGTCTGGATGTTGTATGAGTGAGTCTTTGGTGTAAAGTAACCTGTACTTACCTAGATTTATAGTTTTTGACTTGGATATTCAAAATGTTCAAATAGGCTAATGTAATGTAGTACTGGTGAACATTTCTTGAGAAGTGTGTTTAGAGTGCTTTTAATGTAAGCCTACCTGGTTAGAAATCCTTACCATGCAACACTACTGTGGAGACAGACATCTGCACACATTCATATCTAGAGGCTTTCATTCATACTTCTGAAAGTCAAAAGAGAGGAATAGGATTTAGGGCACCAGTTATTGTTCTCAACTCCCTGTTAAGGTTTATTCACACACAGTTCCGACACATCACAGTCCAGTCACATCAGTCACGACACAGTCAATAAATTTATTCTTTATTGGATATTCTTTTGAGCTATACTATATGCACTCACCTGGCTCAGGTCTTTCAGTCACTCTGCCGGTGTACGTCAGTCAATTTCAGATTTCTTCCCACAACTATTTTGGTGTTTTTCAGATGCCTGACGGTTGTGTGATGTATTTGTTGTTTGTGGCTGTTTGGCGAGGAGCATAATATTTAGCTGTAAAGAAGACCATGCATGACAAGACTGCCATATGTAGAATATGGATCTCATATTTGGGTTAAAATACACACCTAGACTGGCATCCCCATTTCAGTGTTTGATAACTGATAATTGTGATTCAATCTGAAGAATCTCAAATTATGAAATTTAAATTTGATTTATAGTTGCTAATTGTATAGTCTAGGTGAAAGTTTGCCACTTCTGTCTTCCTTGAATTATATTTTACCTTCCATTTCTCAAAATCTTCAGCACTACGAGGTTTTGTGTCACTGTAGATTCTGTCAAAATTTGTTTTTCAACACTAGAGCAATATCATCTGCATGGTTAACATTTTAGTCTAAACGAGATAAGGCTCAGCCATAAAAATTTAATTGCATGAAAGCAATGACTGTTACAGATTTGACATAGGCAAGCCAGTAGTTAAAAGCATTAGTTAAAATTTAAAATCTAATCCAAGTATCCAGCCGGTTAAACTAGCTGAGTGACTTTTCATACTATCACGGAGACACTATGTTCTCTAAAAGTAGTTTGGTTTTGCAGGTTCATAACTGTTCCGTCAGGCAATACAGGTGTTTACGACCCAACGGAGATCCACAACCGAGGGCAGCTAAAACGGCACATGAGAGACTGTATGATATCCCTTGGCTGGTATCTTGTCACATTCTTCATATATCTCTATTGGTAAGTAGATCGAAACTGGTTAATGGTGTTATGCCAGAATCGTATCAGTTGTGCCATAATCATAGGTGGGTAGTCTGTTCGGAAGAAGATACTTACGTGCTGGAAAAGAATAGAGCTACAAGAGAGAAAGAATCAAGTCAATCGTACACGTCTGTGAATATTAAATTTAATCTATGTATACAACAAGCAATCTGTATTTAGCTTCCAGGTTTTTCAGAGATAGGACATCAATTTTGACTATAGGACGGAAACAAACAGTATCAGAACAAACATAAAAAGAACGAGTCAGGTTGTTGACGCAGGTGGCACTGAACTGGCAATAATTTTTGCTTTGTAGACCAGCGGAAGCATGTACAACATTAGCTTTGCCCACTTGACAGACATTGGGGAAACTATTTGGATATCCCCTCAAACATTTGTGAGCATTGCCTTGATTGGTCTCTTATTTTTCCTTCTCTTCCTTATATTTGGAACAGCCAGTAAGTTATGTGAATATAAAACTACGTTACGGACAGAACAAATTCCAAAATGTTTAATACCAAGCCAGAGTATAAGCTCAGTCAGTAGGATGATGGATTGTGACACCATGGTCATGAGACTACAAGGTACAACTAGTCTATCTTCACCTCAACTCTGTCAACTCCGATTCACATCTACAGCCACAGATGATCCTTACATAAGAACATGTTCACTCCGTTTTTAAAAATACAAACTAATAGTTGATGAATATTTAACAGATATCTAACATTTTGTTATTACTTAAGCAGCAGTTTCGTCAACACAGTAAACCGTCACGTATTCATTTGCATATTGTCAACCATCATTAATTACAACAATCAACAACAATCATGTTCAAACACAAATACTAGTTACAAATAAATTCAAATAAAATCAAATTTGTTTGTCATAAAAACGTTTAAAATGTACAAGAGGCATCATTGTCAACTCCATAGATGTCATGCATAAGACCTTCACCAAACAGTAAATCTTAACCAAGTTTTACAAGTGAACCAGTTAACTTAACCAGTTCCTTTAAGTGAATAAAAGCTCAGTTAACAAACTTGAAAGTCCTCCTCTCACTTGGCTGTTTTTGCACAGTTTCCTAAACGCCTTACTCTCTGGCGACCACAGGTATGTAGAGGAGGAGGACGACCCGTACGCTCACGGTCGCCCACTATCCACAATATTGACGCACAGCAATGTGAGATCATGAAGTGAGTTTCTCTCAGAAACTTTATTTCTCTCTCTCGCTGTTGTTTGTGGCTTGCTTGATTGCAGTCTTGCTTGTTAGGGAATGATATAGTTTTCATTTTTGTGCATTCTTACCCTCTGGATCATGTTTGATACAGACTATAAAAGGTTTAAAATGTCTGTAGTGCTTGGTTATTGTTCCTATTAGGCATGTTATCTTAAGCAGGGTGGCTAGTGACCTGGAAAACCTGGAAATGTCAGGGAATATTAAATATCTGGAAAAGTAATGGAAAAGTCAGGGAATTTTGTCATAAGTCAGGGAAAATTGTAAAATGTTTAACATAATTTTAATAATTGTTAGGAAAGGTCGAGAGTATGTGTGCCGTGTGGGTGAAAACTAAGAAATATGTCTCTACAAATAAATTTTGTGTTTTTGTACAAATTAAATTTTATTATAACTGCGTATCATCTTAACTCAGTTTAATTTTATTAAGGTAATTTCAAATTTGCAAAGTTTGAAAATAAGCTAGCCTGTATCTATAGATTTTATGCATGTTTTCATGTAAACAAACATAAGATATTCTTCAGATAAAGATTAGTCCTTTTGAAGAATTAGTTAGGTAGTATTAAAATTGTAATTTTGAATTTGTCGATCAGGGAAAGTTTAAAAAAATCATGGAATTGTCAGGGAATTTTTCAATGTGATCTCACTAGCCACCCTGTTAAGTTAACTGTTAGGCGACAACTGGTTTCAAACCCTAAAAGTAATATAAATTTTAATATCTTGTTCCCTGAGATTGTGAGTTGTTGTGTTTGTTCATGGTTTTAAGTCTTCACAGACCCCGGTATGAAGAGGATTATTATTTAGCTTGTTTGACCTGTTAAGGTATTCAGCTTTGAAATGAACCTATAGTTTAGAAACTGGCCGTCGCCTATTAAAGAAAAAAGGATCTCTTGACTGCACTACAGTATTTTAAACAATTTATAACTGTTTGTTTTTGTAGGGTTTGTTATGAAAATGATGGTCATAAAATTCACATTCATGTGGTACAAGGTTCTATTTTTTCAATTCATTAAGTGATTCTTTACAGGTATGTATATTTTATTATCTTGAAACCTACCCTTTCATGCGAGGGCTATCCAAAAAGTGACAGACGTTTTGTCCAGGCACAGCAGTGGGTGGGGCTAGGACCGCCATCTTGGTGGTTTTATTAGGCATCAGTGTGTTCCTCCACTCTAGCCAGGGTAGAAAGACCGCACACGGTCAATCGTACCCAAGAGCTTTTGTATGGGAAGTTTCCAACCATCTGCTGTACAGCCCAGATTTGGTGCAGAACAACTACCAATTTGTTCCCAGCGATAAAAACGTGGCTCGCTACGCATGCTTTGACACTGATGCTGAACTCTAGAGGGCATTGAAAAGCTTGTATCGTGTATGATAAATGCCTTAATTTAAATGGTGATTATGTTGAAAATAGCAAACAAACAAATTAGCTACTGTATATCCTTCTAGAATTCTTAAACTATCACTTTGCTACTTTTCCAAACGGAAGTTTTTCTTTAGTTTTACTTGTCAACGACTGTATTACTGTAAACTGTAAAACTGTATTACTGTAAACTGAAGTTTACAGAAGTAGTGAATAGGACGCAATTTTTTCTTTTAGAACTTTTGTGTCTAAGGCTATAATGACCACCTCACTCATCATGATTTTCTAAAGGCCGGCGATTTGGTTACCGTTTTTTACCCATCCCAATCTATGTATGGTTTCTCAGATTCATTACTTCCTTCTAGTTCCTTTTCCATCTTACTAAAACCCTTTCAAAATTCTTCCCTATTATCTCCCCCCTATGATCCCTATTATCAAAATTCTTCCTCTGATATCATTTCACTTCTTGTTGCAGTTTGATCATCGCCTTGCTCAAAGACAATCCTTTGGAAAAAGACATGTCTCACTTCAGCGAGAATCAAATCGCCGACAGTGAGTTTTGAGCTCCACCTCGTCTTGGGTATTCTTCCATGTCTAGTCACTCAATTCTATACTCCCTCGGGTTGTTATTTAACTTTAGATTGAACTTGGTGATATTTTATCCTTGCAAAATGAAGTACGTCTTTCAACAATTTATAAATTCATCTTCACAACATAAAAAAAACAGTGGATAAATATTGTTAGATATTAATGTACAGTTCCACAAACTCAGTGCAACATTAATTGGAGAACTGCTGATTTTGAGAAATGCCCAAGTTATTGGGGAAAAAGGGGAAAAAATTGAAATATATACCTATATAATCAAGTGCGTTTTAACTTAATTTTTCATATACAGATACACCATGTACACCTTAACATTGAAATGCATTGTGAATTGTCAAAGAAAATATATTATTTTGGCTACTTTCTCTCAAAATTTAATATATGGTACTCGCTAGCTAGCAGTTCAACTATTACTGTTGCAAAAAAAAAAACACTGGTGTTGAGTTTGCAGGGCTTTACTGTACCGCATCTCTTACATTTACTTTTAAAGGGTTTTTTACATTAAATGCAAGTCCCAGGCTATTATTTTAGCATATGTGCTAGGTTTTTGTAATAAGTTAGTTTAATAAACTGAACTCTCTGGACGTAAGTCCCTCAGGGAAGTTAAAAACCTACTTGCAGTCAAAATTTATATCAAAATGTAAGATGCAGCCTAATGTTTATTTTACAAATATGAAATATTGATAGTAGGCTAATTAAATGTGATGTTACACATTTAAAATAATTTAATTTTAATGAGATTTACATATAACAGTCAAAAAGTTCCCGGAATGGATTTCTGTACTAATTTAGCGCGATCGCCAGCGGCAAATTCGCCTTGCAGTAGTTAGTACCTGGGGAGGGCATATCCTAGTGGGGGTATAGCTGACGAGTCATAGTGCAGGATTGGTGAGCACCTTTTGTGTACCTGCAAGTCTACATTGTCGCTTACTTTCGGTCGTGTACCTGCATTAAAAATGTCATTTGAACAGCTTGCGTTCTGTGTTTTACTAAAAAAAACATCTAGTGAGACTCTTAAGTTGTTAATTCAAGCTTATGGAGAAGAAGCAATGAAGAAAAGACATGTTTATGAGTGGCACAGACGCTTTCGTCAAGGCCGTAAACACATTGATAATGACCCTCGTACTGGACGTCTTTCAACAGCAGTCAATGACATAAAACATTGAGCAAGTACGAAAAGTTATGTGTGAAAATAGGAAATGAAAAATCTATGGAATTGCATTTTAGGTACATTTATCTCATGAAAATGTTCACACCATCCTTCATGATCATTTGAATATGCATCTAATTTGAGCGTGAATGGTTCAAAAATGCACAAAGAACGTCGAATGTTGATGGCAGGTAAATTCGTTGATATGGACGATGCAGATCCAAATTTTTCAAATTAAATTGTGACTGGTGACGAAACGTGGTGTTATCTCTACGACCCTCTACCAATTTTGTGCCACTCACTCAGCTTGTGGTACACGACCGACAGTAACCGACAAAGTAGACTTGCAGGTACACGAAAGGCACTTACCAATGCTGCACTAAGGCTTGTCAGCTATACCCCCACTACGATATGCCCTCCCCAGGAGCCGCTGGCGATCGTGCTAAATGTCTAGAAATCCATTACGGGACCTTTTTGACTGTTGTAGTATTTATACTTATACATTTTCCTGTCAAGGACTAGCTCTTTCTTAGTCAGGGTTGTTTGTTAAAATTCCATTAAAAAGATGTATTTAGTTTCTGGTATGTTTAGTGACTAAACTTAATATTATAATCAACTATTTATTCAGAAAACGTTGTACAGACATATATGAGTCTAACCACATTTTTATTTGAGGGCCATCAGAGCTTAAATATCCATATTTTAAGTATCTCTGTCCATACCATTACTGTGGTTTTTACTGAAAGTCTTAAGTATTGTTTGAAAGTTATTTAACTCCATTCTTATTATTTTTGTAAAGAATCATTAATGCAATGATAGTAATTTACTATTATAATAACAGTCTTAAAAGTGGGGGAGCTAAGTTCTCTAAGGACAGAATACACTTGTAATTTGTCACCTTTAAAGGTATGAAAACCAAATTTTAGGTTTTTCACGAGCAATACCCATTGAACGATTTGACCATGCCACACTCACCTTGTGAGATCAGTATTTTGGGCCAGTTTATGAGGTAAAGAGGTGCTTGCTCACTGGCTATGAAAATCGCCTGGGTCGATGTTCCGCACTTCCTCGTCCCAGTGGCGTAAAAAACACCCGCGCAACCTCTGGGGTGCGGGAGGGTTGCCAAGGTCTAGGGGGCGCTGAAGTTCAATTGTCACCGCTCAACACAATCGCAAAAAAAGTTATGTCAATTCTGTGACTGCAGGAGACGATGAAGACGTCTTCAAGACATACATTCATACACTTGAATACATTCATGAACTTGCCAAAATCCCAAAAAAAGATTACGTTGTTTCCGTGACCGCGGGAGACGAAGATGATGTCTTCAAGACCGAAGAAGATATACATGATTTAGCCGCAATTGTTTCCGTGACGATAATATCTTTATGATTGTGGATTTCGAACAAGATGTTGCCACAATCACAGAAAACGACGACGAGTTTCAATGACCGCGGGAGTAGATGATCATGTCTATCTGAACGCAGGAGATATTCACGATTTGTCCGCGATCACAGAAAACGATGATAATGTTTCCGTGACCAAGGGAGGAGATTAAAAATCGTCTGCGAGAGTTTTCGGATTTTGCCATGATCACAGTTTTTACTGAGATAAACGAGTAAAACATAAATTTGTAATCTGGTAATATTTTCTAATCAAATAATATCACGTTCATTAAACTATTACATGTTCATTTAACACTTTAAAACAACAATATTAACTAAAGACTTCACATCAATAAACCCATTAAAACATCCGTATAAAAATCTTACATCGAGAGGCACGTGTGTTCAGTTCCAAAAACCTCAATGGCCGGCCACCAGTTTCACGGGTGTTGTCAATGGAATGTCGTGGAGAATTCATGTGCAATTCCGCTAACCTTACCTGGTAGGAAAACTTACTTGTCATTTAAACGAAGGCATGGTTGTTTTTTTCTCTAAAGTGGCCTGCTCCATGCATTGTAATGCTTCGCTCAATTCTGTGGGTATCTTACAAGGTAATGCGAGTGTGCTCGAGGCAAAAGATTCCTCCTTTAGCCGACTATGGTTATTGGTTACAGATCTTAAAGTAACGGTACTGAATCTATTTTTCTAGGTAGTTTAATTGTACACTTCTCTAGTCATCTTTAAGTAACTTATTTGTTCCTTGTATGTATTTTTTATTGTCCAAAAGAGCTTACTTTTTTCAAAATATTTACATCTTTAGGATATTGGTAGGAAACGTAAACGCAATGTAAGACTCTTTTTTAGATGTCTCTCTTTAGAAGTTGTACTTATATCATGATAACCTGACTGACTTTAGACTGACTGTACCAGTAAATAATACCTTAATAGTTAATATATATTTTACTATACTAAATGTATGAAAAAAAGTTGTAGGCCTACAATAATTGTATTACACAGTTAACTTATATATAGTACAGCCTCACTTGCAAGAGTATCGTAATTAATCCAAGTCTACTGGAATAATCATTGCTATTAATAGTTGATCTATAATCAAATATTGTTTTTGCTTTTTGCTAATAGAGTTATTAATTTAACAAATATTAAAATGTTTTACTCAAAGAATGTTTCTTTAGTGATTGCTGGTTTATAATCAAATAAATTATCTTTACTTTGAATTTCTTTACATTGTTGGGTTTGGTCAAACTAAAACTTATTTGTATTGGTTGACTCTTATCAAAGAATCCACAAATTGAATCAACTTCCTGTTGCTTTTGTCAAACCCCCCAATAATTAATCACATTGGGTCAGTTTTGGTTACATAAAATTCTGTTTGCTATTCTATATACATGAATCTACCGTTTATATGGTGGATTTGTCTTTGTTTGTGTAGTTTTCAACACATATTTAGCACTTTTTTACATTTTTGTAAGAAAATGGTCCAAACCTTAGTCTTGATAAGTAAACCCTAAATCTAACTAACTTACCTCTTGATTGGTATGATTAATTAATTTACAGTTTTGCCCCATCCCATCACAAATGGTATCTGAATCCAGAATCAAAGATCTTTACTGGGATCGAACCAGTCACTCTTAGATTTGAAGGCAAGCACTGTAACCACCAGGAAACCGAGCGAGTGTCGTTCTATTCTTTGTCATGGGGGTTATAAACTGTTAAACCCCTTCAGACAGGCCTGAGTGCCATTTGACTCCCCAGAGCATAAGAGTGATTCAGGGGAGGGGTACTAGTAGAAGGGGGTGTAGTGGGCAGGTTGTAACGGAGACCGGGTACAGTTTCTTAACTGGGCTACCCTAATTTCGATTGAAAATTAATATCAATCTGCTTACTAAACCTTCATTGAATTTTTTTCATAATAAGCAAGTTTGGTTAGGTTATAACAGTTTCATCTTATCCCTTAAACAAATTTTGCTAACCCCCCGCTCGATCTTTCCACCCCCATACCTGTGGCATTGTGGTACCGGTCACTGATACCTGGCCGGCACTCGCTCGGCAAGGCCTCAGGCTGTAAATTGACCCTTGTCAAAGTGTTTAGGTAAACAGCACTCAGCACTCGTAACCACTCGGCTACCCAGGCAGTTGAATACCCCTTTTCTTTTTCATTTCTTGATTAAGTGACTTAAATTATTTGGATTTGTTTGGGAAAAGTCTGTATATTTTTAGAAAATATTTGGAAATAAAACTAAAACATACATGAATTATTTTTACATCCATACTATGTATTTGCTATAACCTAGCCTACTAACTTATTTTTTTTATAGAATAGTTTTGACCCATTATTAATTGGAAAATAAATAATTTTTTTCTAAATAAGATAAGACTCCTAAATAGCTTTTAATTGTGTGTATTTTACCTTAGAATGTATAGACAAATTGAATTGTATAGTATAGTTTAGATTTTATAATAAACAAAAGTCTTTGGTATGTATTATCAAATTATTACCTATTTTCCTGTATATAATGCTTATCGTGAATTAAATAGACTGAATTGTTTGGCTTTCTTATGAAATTGCTCACACATTTGCTTTCTATTTGCTTGACATTGAAAATGTAAACAGCAACCATCAGATATAAAGGGTTTAGCCGCTTCTGCACCATAGTTTGCAACAAAATGTTTTCTCATGCTGACAACTAGTGTGCGATTTTAAACATTTTATGCTATCTCTGTTGTATACGTGGGCTTAAAACAAACACTGTACCAACTTCTTGTAAAGTGTTGTTGTAGTAAGTGACCTAAGTCTCTTTTACAACGATATAGTCAATATACCTCTTTTTCTGTTGGGTATATAAGTGCATAACCCTCTGATGTGGGAATTTTCCAATGATTTCTTTGCCAATATATTTGTAATTTAATTTTATATCTGTTATGGAATATGTATTTCAATTAAAGTGTCCATATTTAACTAAATTAAAAACAAAAATCCATATCCTCCACCTTCTTCTCTATTAACTTTGACTATTTAAATACATCTAGATATTCTATCTCCATGTTAAAATTGTCACCAGTTAATTAATCAAAATGGTCGAGGTGATATGAGCCACCACCAGAATGTGATAACTGATTTCTTTCAAAATACACAATTTGAGTACACAAATATTCTTTTCGTACATGAAAAAAACTTTTACAACTAATATCAATAACTTCTGATCATTATTCTTGAGCACTTATCATAAATAATCAAAAGAAGAATGCAGGTGCCATCCCTTACAAAAAATGAATGAAATTTGATCAAGAATTCTCGTTCCTTCGATATTGATACTCTCCACTTATTAAATAATATCATGTTATTTAGTTAAAAAAACAAAGCTCTTAAAAATTACAGCAAATAGTGTAACTTACAGCTTCAAAACAACTATCACAAAATTTATGTTGGCCTATGAAATACATAGATTATATGTTAAACAGTTCCACCCGGCCGCCTTTCTCCAGGTCGCGGACTTCGAAGTGGAAACGTCGCAAGTAGGGTTGTAACAGCTGTTTTGTTTGGAAGCAGCTAATGGTATTTGTGTATTTACGAAAGGTTGGTTACTAGACTATGAAAATATTGACTCCGCTTTAAATGTGCAGATATAGATTTTCAATTCATATTGTTTTGGTTTTCAATTCTGTGTTTTTATGTTTGATATTTTAATAAATTTATGTTCATAAATTAAAATTTAAATCAATAAGTGTGAATTAATGACAGATTAATGAGCAGATATCACCTATCTGCCATATATCTTATGGAACGTCTGACACTAAACAACCCTACTTGCGACGTTGCCAATTCTACGTTAAAGGTGGCCGTGATCTAGTTTTATTTTCTTTTTAAATAAATAAATTTGCTAACATTTGTTTTTTAAAATGTTTTATACTTACATTCAAGAAAGGCCCAACGATTCTTTCCTTTGTAGGGCCAACGAATACAAGTTCCCGTTGGGCCAACGTTGACAAGGCGTTACAATTTCTACCCACCATTTTCCAACTGCTCCAACCATTTCACAACTTTGGGCTAACAATGTGTGCTACTTGGGAGGGCAAATAATTGTTTAGCGATAAGGCACAATACGTAGCACAATCAGTAAGTACATACATCCTACATCCATCATATCTATATTGACACATTATTTCAAATCTAACAAATAGCTGGTAACAGGAAACAGGGTAAGCCACGCTAACTAGTGAGATCTTCTAAGTTGGACGTTATTTTACAAGTTATTATTTTTGTACTGTAAATATATAAGAATATAGCCAATCAATTGCCACGTTGGAAAAGCATCACTATTCACTACTCGTAACCACGTATGGGTTAATTTGACCATTTTATACCCTCAATTTTACCATGTAATTGTATATCATAATACACTTATAAGTACAGAATTTATCACCCAGCTTTTGGTTGGCTATACCCATGGTTATTTGTTTTTCCAAAATTTATACTTCACCACCAAATTGAGTTAAAAGTAATTTAGTATGTTTAACAATAAAGACATTTTTATCAAGGCCGTATAGCCAGGGAGGGGTTAGGGGGTCAAACCTCCCCCCCCCCCCCGAAAAATCCCAAAATTGTGTAGTAAAAATTAATAGGTACTAGGTTTAAAAAGTGAAAGTTAAATTATAAAATAGAAACCACAACAGAGGATTATATTTTATGTTTTATTATGTTTTGCAGTGTAACTATTCATATTTCATATAATAATTCTATTACCTAATAAATCTATGATCTATTAAAGAGGTCTATGAAGGTTCAACAAAAATACTTTACTCAAACAAAAACAGTAACTATATCAACATTTTAGAAATAAGCATGGGAATTGGTGTTTGAAAGTGCTTAAATCTGTTATCCACAGTCATGACCTGACCCAGTGGCGGTTCAAGGGAGGCTACAGGGGCTAAAGAAAGTACCAAACTGTTTTTTGGAGGATATAGCCATAGCCTACAGTATGGTTAGAAATTAATGAATGCAATCGTCATGGTTTAAATTTGTAAATGTCTACTTGCTTATGTCAAACAACAGGTTAAATGGGAGTTTTTTTTACGATTGAAGACAGTTTTAAGGCGTTAAAGATTGCTTTAGAAAGTCACTAAACTACTTTAAAAATATAAAAAAATTTCCGGGGGAGGATCCCCAGACCCCCCTTGACAAGGTCCTAGAACCGCCACTGACCTGACCCCCCCCCCGGAAGTTTGTCTTGGCTACGGCCTTGATTTTTATTTGTAGTTTTTCTACAAAGTGGTATCCACAGTATGTGTTTTGAGCTATCATTTTAAATATGGTCAATAACCCTTATCCTTAAAATTATATTTCTTCAAATAACTTTAATTTAATGAAAAAATATCACTATGTTATAAAGTAAAAAAGCATCATACAAAGAAGGTACTGTGCTGATTTACTACATGTAGTTCTATTACAATAAAAAACATTCATTTTTGTAGAAAAGAAAGGAAACGATTGCTTGCGATCAGTAGTGAGTAATTGAATAGTGAGTGAAGTCATCATCACATCAAGTCAATTAAAGAAGAAAATACATAGAGGAATAGATTTATTTTACACAATTTTATATTATTTTATTCTGATCGTAATGGATCAATATTTTACTTAAAACATCTTGTGCACCGGAATATCACCCATGAATATTTTTAGAGGAAGGTTGATAACCGATTGGTTTTGAACACTTGTTGCTCTGTTATAGTTCCCGGTCCCGAGCCGGGCCTGCGCATTATGCTATGTCGAACGCAACTTATCGTCTGTCCGCTGTACGCTCTCGCACCGTCAGATGGACAGTCTCGAAATGTCAAAATCTGGGCAGTGTAGCTCGTGTCATGGGAGGTTGTAGCCGTATGTATTGATTAACACTGCGATGATTTCGAATTTCAATACGTGTTGTTTTGCGTTTCACGTCGGATAATTGTAATCAAACGTGTTATTATGGACAGTGGGAGTTCGTTAAACCAGTCAGTTGTTTTCAACACAGTTAACACTCGAAATGCAGCGGAGGCCTGGATTTTATATCGGGCCCATTTGATAACCTATGAACCTGTGAATTTACAACGCCTATAACCTATTGTGTTTTACGATGAAGTTATAGCTGTGTGTTGTTAATGATATAAACTAGAAATGTCGAGCTTGAAATCAGCAGGTTTACAACCTATCGAGGTCCCGAAATGTATGATAGAAGGAGAGAAATTCATCAAATGGGATGAGGTAAGTAGTTTGGTTTGTTTTTATTGTACAAAATTATCAATTAAAATGTTACCTTTTGCATTGTTGGCAGAAAGATCCGTGAATATAATTGTGCATTTTGTTGAATGGAGGCCAAAAGTGTTAGGTTACAGTACCTATGCTTCGGTAGTTTGTTGAGTCAACTGTACCCACCCATTGCCCAGGTTGTTGCACTGTGATTTCTACCTGTTGAAAATCCCTTGTACAGTAGCTGTTGTGTGTCTTCATCATTACCTTCAATTCATAAGAACAACTATCATAGTGTTGTTGATTTTTTTGCCATCCAATCTAAAAATATATAAACTTTATTCAAAATGTCATGTTACAGTATAAGCTTAGGCTAGCTATAACTTAATATTAGGATGTAAAAGATGTCCAAGACTTGTCCCTCAGATTTGCTTACCGGTGCGTAACTTAACTCAAATTGCTATTTTCCCAGTTGTAATTTTAACCTGGAACTTAGAAGGTACTACCTTTAAGTTAATTAATGTGCTAAACATTAACTTAAAAAACATTATTCTAAAAAAAATACAATCAGCCCAGATTTTTTTCAAAACACATGGGTGTGATAACAATTGGAATCGATTTGGTCTATGTTGTAGATTAAAAGGCAGGTGAATCCTGGCAGTCCTAACATAGGCCTACAGGCTAATGGCCAACTTAAGCTAAGTTTAGGCTAGGACAAAAACAGGACAGTTAAAATATAGCGTTTTTAATGCTCCTGAATATGTAATTTATGTCCCATCTAAGTATCTAAAGTTAGGTAGGACGTTAAAAAGATTATGTCAAAAAATTAAGACTGTAAGTTAATTAAAGTTTATTTGTAAGTTTAGTTGGTTTGGACGGACACGGTACTGGTACGGTACTTATTCGGTTAAATTATTATTGGTAACTGGGTAGTTTACATTCTGCTTGTTGAAATGTTTATCACTAAAAATATCGGCTACAGTATTCACTGTTTGGATAAGATCACAACTTAGGCGTTGGCCTAGCTTAAGTTAAACCCATAATATGAGTTAATTTGGCCTAGGGGTACCTCAAAATATCAAACAGACTCAACTAGGTTACGGTAGCTCATAAAGCTCAACTAATCACATTCAAATTGTGAGTCGAGCATTAAGTATAACCACTAACTTATTCGGCTGATTCAAGATTTTTTTATGGCAGAAGTAAGACAGATTAAGACTCTCTTTGACAAAATCTTTGTTCCTTCTTTAATAAACCTTATCATTTAATTTCATTTCATTTCTCATTGACAAAAACATTGTTTTAGGACCAGGTTGTAATGTCAAAGCAAAACAATAGACTTATATGACATTGTTTTGGAGTGAATGTCATTAAACTTTTGTCTTTAATCTTGAGGATGTGTCCTAGTTACTAAGGATGTAACTAACATACAATGCAAGTAATTAACTTACTAAGAGTAAGTCCACTACTAATTTCCAAAGGTCATGGTTTGTACAAAATACCCATTACAATCATTAACTTAGGTCTAACACTCTCATAAAAATACCATACGTTTCCCCCAATGTTTGTGTATAACACTAACAATTACAACTCGTCAGGTATAGCATGACCGGTGGGGGTGCGTTACTAGGCTACGTTACTAGCGCACCCCACCAGTCATGCTATACCTGACGAGTTATAGCAACATTTACTTAGCAGGTTACCTGCCTCTAAAGCCGCTTACACGAGGCCAGTAAAGCAGGCAGGTGACCGGGCACCTAATGTATTTCAAGTTACTGGAGGCAGGTAACCTGCCGCCAACTGGATTTGTATAAACCCGGCTTTAAGCCTTTAATAGAGATAAAATCTCTTCCAGGGGAAGGAGGCCTGCCTAAGTAATTTACTTATTGCTAAAAGTACCCTAGGTTCGGTAAAACGTAAATTTGTTAGCAAATTATTTTAAACCCCGGGCAATACACCAGAACAGTCCATCTATGTAAACTACTATTTATTTCTTGTTTCCAATAATTCATTTACACTATTACACTTACCCATAAAACAATAGGTTTATTTATTTATTTATAAAGCAGAAGAGCTGTGACTTAGACTACAAGTAGGGAAGTGTTGTTTATGAAGTAATCAAGGGCTGTGTAGAAGAGAGGGTATTCAAAACCCACAAACAATCTTGGCTTGTTTGCTTCTTTTTATCCTATGGGCCTGAAGGACTAGGGTACGCTTTTCATTCAGTGGCCGGCAGCCAAGTTTAATGGAGGGTAATTTGTTTTAGCGAAGAATGTCATGATGTTCCTTAGTTTCAAACACAAACTGTGGTATTAAATACAATTTTAAATACAATATAAATACAATATTAAATAGAGATATCAACAGCACGGTTAGGCTATTGGTTACGGAGAAAATTCTAAAAAATTTGAATTTGAAATTCCCTGTTATTCTTGTAAAGAATATTCTAAAATGTTGTAGTTTGCTTGTTTATGGATATATTTTGATCAACTTGGCAAATTTATTTATTTTATTACTAAGCTATTATTATTTTACAAAAATACCCCCGCTGTGCCAGCAAACCTGCCGACTAAGTGAAATTCCATTCGCCTAGATTGGTTTTTAGTTAATCTATAAAATTAACATTTATAATGAGTAGGCCTACCCAGGTTTGCTGCTACAGGGAGACTATTAAAGTGTGTTTTTATTAAAATATTAATAGCTTCTGGTACAAAATATATAAATCTGCCAAGTTTGATAAAAATAAAAATCCATTAACAAGCCAACTACAACATTTTAGAATATGATAAGAATAACATGGGAGTTTTAAATGAAAATTTTTTTTAATTTCCTCTGTAACCAATAACCGTACAAAACACTTTGATATCCTAATTTATTTGTTTTTTAAGCTCTTTAAAAAGGTCTGGAGAAAATTTAATTTAAATGTTTTGTTTGATGGGTAAATAATGAGAAAAACCCATTTTTACCCCATAAAGTTAAACCCTTTTCCCCATGTCCGATCATGCTGGTTCACAAACTCATTCAAGTTTATCCTGCCTTACACCTTCAAACCAAATTTCATAAATATCGGATAAAAATTACTCAAGTAATCGTCTAGACGGATACATATATAACAGTTTTAACTAATAGTGTTTTTGGCCTCTGGGGACATCAAAATGAATAAGTAAATTGGTCCTGGGCCTAGGTCTTACCATGAGACCTAGATGGTAATAGCTACTTCCCTATAGGGAAATTCGCCAAAACACACTTTAGCCTCCCTGTAACAGCAAACCTAGGTACTCGTTTAACCTAATGCTATTTAAATAGATTTAAAAATTGTATATCTATTCTATTCAGGCAAATAGAAATTCGCTTAGTCTGCAGGTTTGCTGCGGCGGGGGTATTTTTGCTTTGAGGTAATCTGGAGGCAAATTACAGTATGACCTTAATAACTCGATCCTTAATACCTCGAAATTCTTGATATCCCGATTTTTTCATACTCCCATTGAAATCCCAGTAAATCACAATGTTTAAAATACTTTTATAAGTCAACGGTTTCAAAAAATTTACCCTTTTGAGTCGAGTTTTGACGTTATGTGATCCGTAATACTTTAATCTCTATTGAAGTTTCTTGTTCACAATTCAAATTGCTCGAAGTTTACCTTTATAAGTCGAAGTTCTCACAATTTACCTCAATCACGCAAAGTTTTATGCCATACTGTGATAGTCAGCTGTTTTAGATTCTTGTTGAGACTTGAAAATCCATTTTCTTTGTTTATTTGGCTATTTCTGTTAGTTTTGCCAGCCTGTTACTTATTTAGATTAGCCTATATTGTGTGCATAGGAAGTCGTGTCCTCAGCTAGGTGTGAATTTAAAACATTGACACACGCCAAAAGTTAAAGAAAAGAGTCTGGTATGTGGAAATCCGCTTGGCATCTTACCTAAAAATGTGGTAGGTAATCCTGGAAATGTATGAAGGTAAATTGTTGGGGTAGCGGATTTTTATCCCCCTGGAATTTTACTCCCTGGGCAAACGTGACGTCACAAACCAGGGAGTAAAATTCCAGGCGCGAACTTTTGAGTTTTGCGACATCAGCTCGATGGATTAAACGCGGAATCAAACATATATTTTCACGGTTGTTAATTTTATCAGAACACATCAAATTATAAAAACCTGGCCCGGATTTTTACCCCCGGAATTTAACCCCGTGATTTTTACCCCCCGGATTTTTACCCCTGGAATTTTACCCCCCGGATTTTTACCCCTGGAATTTTACCCCCCGGATTTTTACTCCCGGAATTTTACCCCCTGGCCAGATATATAAATTAGTGAGAATGTATAATTATCTTCATTCTGTTTTAATTTAATAGTAAACTTTTTATTATTAAGTAGCCTATCTTAATTTAAGCTATTTGTAACATCAACTAATCGATGTTTACAATTAGGCCTAATTAAAGCAGAAATAAGAAAATCAATCATTCAGTTTCTAAAATCGGCCAGGGGGTAAAATTCCGGGGGGTAAAAATCCGGGGGTAAAATTCCGATGGTAAAAATCCGGCCCGTACATCTTCAGTTGTCTAAATGCTAGTTATATGGCCAGGGGACGTCAGCTTTGCACAGGGGGTAAAATTCCAGGGGGATAAAATACCGGCGACCCTTTTACGCCCTATTTACAGACGTAAGTCTGAGAAATATCTATCTCATGTTTGAAATAAATTACCATCGTGATAGAATAAGTACAGTATGCAGGAATAATTGTTATTTTGCATTTGAAACAGTATATAAAACAAACAATCGACTTATTCTTTGTTGTTATGCCTATACTGTAAACAAATACATTTGAAAAAAAAATTGCGTTAGATTTATGAACCTAATTTGCTTTGTTGTCATCACTCCATTTTACCATTTCAGAGAGCGCGGGACTGTTACATTACGTCTCACTCATCATCATTGTTGAAATTACAGGCCCATTTCTGATGGGCAAATGGAATGGTTGCATGTCCTTCCACGTTGTAATGTCAACATTTACGGTAC